GCATTCCTCCCAGAGTCAAGCAGGAAGATGCTGGAGCGCTCTGATTATAAAATTTGCATGTTCTCCTAGCTGGTTACCGTGCCAAGGGACATTTCACATCACATTGTACTGTTTGTCAAAAATCTTTTGCCCAAACAGACCACTTCTCAAGACACTGCTGATGCTGAGGCTAAACAAACACAAAGGTAGAATTTAAAATACTGAGAGTTCCTAAGAGGAAATATAAAGAGATTGAGGGGCAGCCACTGTCCGCTCTGAACCTTCAACGGGTGATCTGGTTCAGAGCCCAGGTAGATAAATGACAGAAAAACAGCAGAAACAAGGCTGCAAAGTGTTGATTCATGAAAAGCTCAACATGCTTTCAGTGAACACCAGCACTTTTAGGCCAGGTGCCACAGGAGACACCGAGACATGAAAGAGCCCCCATGTCCACATTCAAGGAGCCAACAATCTAAGAGAGGAGACATGGTGTGACAAGTCATGCCTGGGCACCTGCAGGCTAGATGCAGGACAACACAGAGCTGTGGCCCTCTGCCTGGTGTCTCTGGGAAGACTTTCGGATAGGAATGTGAGGGCCATTGTGGTGCCAGGGGGTTAGAGGGAGGGAGAACAGGCAAAGGGAGAACAAAATGGCTGGGGGTTCTAGGGACCCCCCCTGGTGAGGTAGGACTGAAGTCCAGCTGGGTGGAGCCTCCCAAGGTGAAGCTGGTGAGGTCCACGGGAGCTGGATCCCAGGGCAGCTGGTGTCCTGAGAAAGGAGCAGGGCTTTGCCACCAGGGAGAGGAGCTGTTGGGTTTTAAGCAGGTGTGGCTCTTCTGATTCACATTGGCAAGCCTCTTTCTGGATGGCACGAAGCTTCCCAGATTGGAGCAAGGGACAAACTAGGAGACCTGTGAACATTCCAGCAAGAAGTGATTTGGTCTCTCAAAAGACAGTGACAGTCCATGGAGGGAGGAAGCCATTCAGGTGATTATTAAAGAGATGGCACCAACTGGCTGAGGCACCAATACAGTGGGGAGTGAGGGAGGGACAGGACAGAAGAAAGAGAGCAAGTAAGCTGCAGAGCAAGACCCTGGGCATGCTGAAGAGGAGTCCAGGGAGGCAGGGCGCAGGAGGCCTCCCTCCTCAAACCCGGGAAGACAGCACAGCAGTTGTAGAAACAGCTTACAGTACCTGTTGGAACAGACTCCTGTGCAGGAGGCAGGCAGGTGAGGGGGTTCTTGGAGTGCACTCTGAATGGTACAGTACTGAAGAGCAGGATGGGGGCAGAGTCACTGCACTCTAGAAAGCTGAGGAATGAGGACTCAGCCTCCAGCACAGAAAAACAGTAATTAGCCGGAGCCCCGAGGCCAGCTGAGACCAAGGCCAGTCCCCTCAAGCAGTGCTTTCTCAGCCAGCGGGCTCAGCCGCCAGGAGAGCGACAGGAATGAACTCCGGGTTAAAGGGGTGGCCATCTGATGCAGGGCATGAAAGCCTCATTGCAATTCAAGGGAACTGAAGATTAAGAAAGGGAAATCAGTGACCCCAGTGCTGCCCGAGGATCAAGGAAAGCCAGGAAGGGCTGAGAGACAGAGGTCAAGGACTCAAGGCTCATTAGATGCCCACGCTCAGACGGAGCAGACTGAGTTTTCCACCAGGTACTAGGCCATGAGGTCCAGCATGGGCCTGCCTGGAAGCAGCCACCATTCGAATGGCAGTCGAGGTGTCAGGAGTGCTTCCAGGGACAGTCACTCTTCCGGGAGAGGCCTTGGCAGCTCCGCTCAGGTACAGTCTAGGAACCAGCAGAAGACACCCACCTCTGGGGGAGACAGAGCCTCCCATGGGGACCTGGAGCCTCAGAAGGCTGTTGGGGAACTGGGCTACAGCCCAAATTCACAGTCCCATCGAAGAGAGTCTGTTTGGGATAAAGGTCGCCCCACAACTGGACATGGTTCTGTTTCCACCTGACCTTCCAGCACTGTGTTGAGGACATGGCCGTGTTGCACTGAGTTGGTGCTCTTGAAGGATAGATAAATTATCCATCGGAACAAGAGGGCTCATGTTGGTTTCACTCTCTAAGGAACTCCCCCTAATCTGAGACCACCAGACCCTGAAAGTCCGGGTATAACAAGGAACGCAGGTGACCAATGCATGGAGAACTGTCATTCGTCCACATTACTTTCTCAAGTAGCACCAAGTTTTAACTCTGAGTTTTTACGAAAGGTCCCAGGCTATTCCCGTTTTGTTTTTTGTTGTTGTTTTGTTTTGTTTCCAGATAGTTTGAATTCCTGTGCCCTTTGCACTGGAGACCCAAATTCATGGTTTTTCTCAGGCTCTTGGTATTCAAATGGGCTAACCCACCGCGTAAACTCCAGCCTACAGGCGGGCAGTAGATTGGGGGCGGCAGGGGTGTGTGTTGCGACGTCTTTCCCCTGGTGACAGCCTTGGCCTCCCCGCAGGTGCGCGCAGGCGCTGCTGGAGCATGGTGCCTCGGTGCAGCTCCCGGGCGGCGCGGGCGGGGACACGCCGCTGCACGTGGCAGCGCAGCACGGCCTGGACGAGCACGCACACCTCTACCTAGGCCACGGAGCGCGCGTGGACGCGAGGAACCGCCGCGGCGAGACGGCCCTGAGCTTGGCCTGCGGAGCAGCGCGGAAGCCCGACGAGCACGCGCGCTGCCTGCGCCTGTGCGC